CAGAGAGGGCTTTGAAGCACAAATCGACGTTCACTATTGTTCAAGGTGATTTCAACGCAGTGGTCGGCTTCCGATTGAACGGTACGGAACACCTTCTAGGAAGGTACCGTGTAGGAGATAGGAATGACAGAGGAAACCGTCTAATAAAGTTTGCAGAACAACACCAATTCTCGATAATGAACGCCTTCTTTGAGAAGAAAGCCAAGCGTCTTCGGACATGGGGAGCTCAGACATGAAAACTCTAAGACAGATTGATTATGTGCTTACCGATACACCAAGGTTGTTCGCTGAAGTCCACGTTATTGGAGGAAGTGCGATTGCGACCGGCTCCGATCACCGACTTCTACGCTCGGTGACCCTCTGCGATGTCAGAAAAGAAAATCGAGTTCTGTATTCGCAGAAAACACCCATACGACGAACTTTCAACGCCGACATGTATGCAACGATGATTGCATCGTCAGATATACAGATAGTGCTGGCAATAGCATAGATGCCGACTACGAAGATCTAGTGGGAAAATATCGAAGGCCGTGAAGGCATGGAGCACAACAAAAGAGCCACCAAAGCGACGGCGTACATTGGCAGATGCAGAGCAAATTATGAAGAAGAGAGCGCGCATGAAAGCCGAAGGAGGAGTGCAAACCGCGGAGAACTCTGTGAAGCGATAAGGGAAAAGATCAAACACGACTATGAAGACTACAGGCTAAAGAAGCTCCGCGAAGCAGCTGTGAGAAGGGTCAGTCTGAAAGCCGTCTGCCTCAGGCATCACATACCGTCTGCTCTCAAGGATAATACAGGTGACAGGACGACTAACCGCCTGCGGATGAACGAAATATGCACCAAGTTCTTTAACAACTTGTACTCCTCAAAGGTGGTCGTCGCAAGGGCCGATCAAATCACTGCAGATGAACCGATCCCAGATGTCATGTGGGAAGAAGTGGAGTATGCAGTAAAACAGATTAAGGCGGGGAAGACCCAGGTTGCGACAACATACATACGTCCCGAACACCTGAAAGAAGGTGGATTGCCTCTCTCTAAAGCGCTGGCAGAGCGCTTCAGCAGATACTGCAGCGAGAAGAGGATTTCGTCGGTGTGGAAGAAATCAAGGACGGTACTGCTAATGAAAAAAGGCAATCCCGAGAATTTGGACGATTATAGAGCCATCACTTTGCTGTCTCAAGTCTATAAACCTTTACCAGGATAATCCTTAATCACCTAGTTGGAGATCTGGACATGGCCATGAGCCGAGAGCAAGCGAGATTTCGAAGCGGGTATTCCACACTCGACCATTTGCACGTTGTACCGTCAGCCTGCCGAAAAATGTGGAGAGCACCGGATCCCTTTATGCATCGCGTTTGTCGACTACAAGAAAGCATTCGACTCGGTCGAAACAAAAGCGGTGCTGAATGCGTTGAATAGATACGGTGTCATTTCGTGCTATGTCGGCCTTCTCGAAGACTTGAACAACGACTGTACCACAGATTGAAGCTCTTCAACAATCCACGTCAAACAAAAATATGCAGGGGCGTACGACAAGGAGATACGACTCTCCGAAAATATTTGCATTAACTTCGGAAGCCCTACTCAATGATCTCTACTGGACCGGAGGTATAGAGATCGACGGAGAACACCTGACCTATCTGCTCCTTGCGGACGATTGCGTCATTTTTGCACATGATGCCCTAGAGCTCCAGGAGAAACTTGTGCAACTTCAGATGAAATCGAGTGGAATCGACCTGGAAATTTGTCAGAAACGGCGACAATAAATGGCGGAACCATCGAAGAAGTGATAAGCTTCAGGTACCTCGGACACCAGGTCAGCGTCACAGAAGGCGGCGGCGGAGAGTACGGCGCAGGAAGGCAGGTTGGTCTAGCTTCAACAAAATTTCAACGCTACTACTAGACGAAGACTTCCCGATGAAACTGAAAGGGTCTCTTTTCCACTCGACTGTGATACCCGCGCTGTTGTACGACGCGGAATGCTGGGCGTCTACGAAGGCAGACGAAGAGAAATTTGCCGTGATGCAAAAATCAGTGGAACGTAGAATTTGCAAAGTGTCACTTCGTGAACATATTACAAACACAGAGTTGCGAGAACGAAGTGGCCTTGCTGATGTTGTCTAGGAAATGTACAAACGTAAGCGAGAATAGGATGGTCATGTGGCACTTTTGAAAGACAACCTTTGGACATTCCGGCTAACGAATTGGATAACATTGGTTCACAAGCGAGCGCAGGGAAGGCCTAAATTGAGGTGGGCCGATCCTATGATCAATGTGCTCGGCCAACACTGGAGACGATGTGCGCAGGACCGGAACGGGTGGCTCAAAGTCGACTTGCGTGAAAGGCGAAGTTCGCGAGGACAAGCCGGATACAGGTGGTGCTATAGAAGAGTGGTTAGGGTTGCCAATACAAATGTTTCATTTTTGCCTTTCATATTAGTCTCTTAATTCGTTTAGTTCTGTAGGAGAATCTTGAGAAGAAGCATCATGGAAGCACTTTGTCCAAAATCGAGTTTAACCCATGGACTTACCCATACTGTTCAAGAAATGAATCCATTTGCTGCAACTCGGCAACCTACAAATAAAACTTTTCCTTTCCAAATTTCCATTCATTGTGAAATGTTAGCGCCTTCTACTGGCCCATATCAATAAATACAGCATAAAGAACATGAAGTAGTGAGATTTTTACTTCAACTTTCAACCTCAGTGTTCTTCGTATTCCTCACTACTATTCTTTTCTTACGTAACCCTCTTGCCGAGGACACAAGAGCAATTATAAGTTCGAGATGCCGTATATCCCGGTAGTACCTGATTACTGCTCCGTCGCATAATAGTATCATACTATATATAACGCGCTAAGTGTGTCTGTTGGTTTGTCGGTATGCATGTTCTGCCGTAAATTCATAGATCCTTTCCCCGTAAACATTGAAACTAATACGGTAAATTCTGTAGGGAGTACAGGTGGCAGAGTAAAGACACTTATATGGAAAGTGACAAGTCTGGATGCAGTGAAGAAGCGAAAAAGACGGATGAAGAAGAAAAAGAAGGAAATGAAGGAAAATAAGTGTATATGAGTTCTTCACCAAAAGTCACTACCTAAGAAGTTATCATTATTACTGATATCATACATAGAAGCTCAGGAAATCCGCTCATGAAAGTGGGCGGGGTGAGGGAGGGCGAAGGAGGGTTTGGGCGAAGCAATTACTGAGGGACCGGTAAAGTGTAGAAAAATTTGTAATCAGAAAAAACTTCCAGAGGAGCCTAGGCACCAGGAAAAAATGGGCAAAGTGCAGGAATGGGGAAAGCAAATTATAAGAGTAGAAACATTTGAGAATGTTCGTGAGTGGAGTGGGCAGTCCTTTTTACATGAACTCACCTTCTCAGCCTGTAACCTTTTAATTAAGGAATAAAGCTCAAATCGGGAGGAGCCGAATAGCGTAGTATAAGACTATGACGTTTTGCTTCTTACCAGGGAGGGATAGTCTACTTATCTCGGAACTTTGAATTCAGACCCAGATAGATCGATAGGGTTTTGAATGCTGTTTACGAAAATGGAAATTAAAACTGCAAAATGATTCTCCTTAAAAAGTTATTTGGCCCGAATTTTGCTCGACAGTAGTATCAGTTGTCTAAAGAAATGTCAGAAAACGTTTAGAGAGCCTTTGATAAAATGAAAACACTTATGCAAAAAAGCGGACAATGTC